TATATATATATATATATATATATATATATATATATATATATATATATGAATACTAAAATAAACTACTACTACTTGTACTCCTATTCCTATGCTGCAGTTTTTCACTTATCACGGGGCTTCAGGGATTCCCCGCGATAAACTTGGGACTACTGTACATTCATTCTTGGGGAGTGGTGGAACAGAGGTTAGAGAAGGTGGGCCTGTGATCAGAAGGCCGCTGGTTCAACTCCCTGTACCGACAACATAAAAATGTGAGTGGGATAGGTGTAAAAACCCACACCTGCCTCCACCCTGGGCCCTTGAGCAAGGCCCTTAACCCTGACCATCTGCTCCTCCGGGAGTCCTAGATAGCAGCTCTCTGCTCCACACAGAGGGTTGTGGTAGCTCGGTGGTCTGTGGTTGTGTCAGGAAGGGCATTCGGTGTAAAAACTATTGCCAAATCTTCATGCGAGTTAGTTCACTGTGGCGACCCCTGAAGAAGGGAGCAGCAGAAAGAAGAAAAAAAAAATCCCAGTTATTTTCTTCCAGTTAATGGTGGTGCGCTAGAGGCGATACATCGAAGAGGGAAACCCCGATGTCCCACTTCCCAGCCACATTCGGTTCCTCCTGGATCTTGAGGCGTTCCCAGGCCAGAGAGGATAGTCTCTCCAGGAAGTTCTTCGTCTGCTTGAAGGCTCTCCCAGTGGGGCGAGTCTGGAAAACCTCCAGAGGAGGACATCCAGGAGTCATCTGATTTGAATCAGATACCCAGACCACCTCAGCTGACTTCTTTTAACACAAAGGAGCAGCAGGTTATCCAAGCTTCCCTCAGGTGATGATGTGCCTCACCTTGTTTCTGAGCCCGGCCTCCCTGCAGAGGAAGCTCACTTTCAGCTGCTTGTTCCAGGATCTTGTTCTTTGTGGGGACTGGTCACTTGGTGCAGGTGGGGCTCTTATTTCATTTGTGTCTGATAACACTGGCAACGTTGTCAACATGATGTCCGTTCACTCTGTCATCGCTCTGTCCCCCGCAGTTTCAGATGTCGATACTTATATGCACATATTTAGTATTTTTCTGATTGTACTGGACATATTTCAAGTGAATAATCAAAAGAAGAACATAATTTATTGCTCCGCCATTTTTAGAGATAAAAATGCCACTGGTTCTTTGGGCCATGTTCTGTATTTTATGGCTAAGGTGAGGGTTGAAACATAAACAGCTTCACTGTTCAGCTCTACTTCCTTTTTCATAAAAGACTATTGCTTCAGCCAACAAATAATTGAAAATCAGGTAAACTGAGAACCGACAGTAAATAATACATTGAGCCAAACATAACAGACGGTGTGGACCCAGCCCTTACATTGAAACAACACAAAGGCTTATCTCAAAATAAAATCATACCTGAATGGAACATTTTTCAAACAGATTTTTCAAAATTTAATTCAACAAGTTTTTTTTTTTAAGTGTCCGAATTTTAGGAATTACATACAACTAACAAAATAAATCATCCAACAAACGTAAAATCTACATGTTTATGTGATACAGACGTGTTTCCATTTATTAAAACATGCCTGGGTTGATTTTTAGCTGCGTTTTGTGTTTGTTTCCTGCGTACTGATTCTCAACACTGGCCTCAAACTCACCTATAACATCTACGTCTGCGTTGCCATCATCCCTGTAAGGTTTCCTCAGAGGTTCACTGTCACAGCTGGCAATGACCTCATCAAAGAACTGTAAAGTGTCCTCCTCGTTGGGGGCAGGAGGTGCTGGGGGTTTTGCTCTTGATTTTTGCTGTTTAAAAAAAGGTAGAATTTTAGCTTTTCACGTCTTTTAATGCTTTCGGAGATAATCTACATTTATCTTACCGGCTCCTTTTTTGATGGAGGTGCAGGCGCTGGTTTCTTCTTTGAAGACACCGTGGCCTTGGCCTCGTTACTTTTCAAGTCACTCACGCTCTGTGTGTACTGCCTTCTGAGCGCCATGAGTGCTTCCAGGTACTCCAGGCAGTTCTGGTTCTGTGAATACAGCCATATCCTGTCCTCTTGTCTCTGGTAATAGTACAGAGTGGACTCGATGCTCACTGTGCTTTTGCTCCGTTTCAAAGTGGAGCCCTCGGCCGTCCGAGTTCTCTCTCCCACCACCAGCATGGAGGTGCTGCGGACCAGCCTGACTGTGCAGGCGTTGTGGTAGTCCTGCCCAGCCCGAAACCGACCGCCACCGTTCCCTTGTCCTTTGTGTCCATGATGGTTGGGACGGAACACATTGTTGATCTTCCTGAACATTCCTCTAATCGAACTCTGTCATGCCTTCAAACCTCTTGACGTATTCCTTCAAATGCGAGAGTCTTCCCTCTGTATTTAAAGACATCTGTAGGTTTTCTCTAAGCAAACCAGCCAGCTCAAGATGTTTACTGGAATAAACAGTAGAAACGTCTGCTGGTCTGAAACAGGTGTCTAACCCGATCTCAGTGTCTTTAATGTTGTCAGATGTTGCTCAGCAACGGGATGGTAACTCTACACTCGGTGCTTTCATTACACAAGTCGGTCAGATAACTTCAATGGGAAACTGAGTGAGCAGAAAGATATCTATCAAACTCCGAGGCTTCAGTTTCAACATACATCTATCCATTGATCTATTAGTTTTTATTCCTTTATGTAGCATAAAAACACCAAAGATCTTTAGGAAAAACAGAAGCTGAATTTCTGGTGAGTTAATTTTTTTAGAAGCTAATATGGAAGCACAATTGCAAAAATGAATAAAACTAAAATAATATTTCAGAGTGTGACAACTCTTGCAATTGGAGCAAACTCAAGAATATATTTGCTGTTGCTTCATGTTGAACGTCCCATCCATCCATCATCTTTACCCGCTTATTCCATTTTGGGTCACGGGGGTCGCCGGTGCTCATGTCCAGCAATCACTGTGCGAGGGGCGGGGTACACCCTGGATGGGTCGCAAGTCCATCACAGGGCCACATAGAGACAAACGAGACAAACAACCATTCACTTTCTCACTCACACCTAGGGACAATTTAGAGTTACCAATCAGTCTAACATGCATGTTTTTGGTCTGTGGGAGGAAACCGGAGTACCCGGAGAAAACCCACGCATGCACAGAGAGAACATGCAAACTCCACCCAGAAAGGCCCCTGGACCGGGGTTTGAACCAAGGACCTGCTCGCCGAGAGGCAGCAGCTCTACCAGTTGCGCCACCGTGCTGCCCTCATGTTGAACGTTTCCGCTCTTAATTAATTATGAATTATTTTCTCTTTGGTTTCGTCAGCTGCCATTGTTGGGCTTTTACAGGAGGAGGAAGTCTACGCACAAGAAGCTCAACTGAGAAGAGATTTACATGAAGACAAATCCCAGCAATATTTAAAGAACATATAAAAACCTGGAAGGTTTAGTCACTTACAATAAAACTGATAGACTTGTTTGTAAAATATTCACATGAGTAAAACTTATTGTATTTAACCTATTTATTATTGTGTTTATTCCTCATCACTACTTTCACATCACAACTTATTTTGCTGTTGAAAGTACAACTTTAGATTTTCTGTTTTTGATTGACTTGATCTCATACAACTTATTTTTTGTGTATTAATAATCCATCCATCCATTTTCTTCCGCTTATCCGGGGTCGGGTCGCTGGTGTAGCAGCCTAAGTAGGGAGGCCCAGACTTCCCTCTCCCCAGCCACTTGGGCCAGCTCTTCCGGGGGAATCCCGAGGCGTTCCCAGGCCAGCCGAGAATCATAGTCCCTCCAGCGTGTCCTGGGTCTTCCTCTGGGTCTCCTCCCGGTGGGACATGTCCGGAACACCTCACCAGGGAGGCGTCCAGGAGGCATCCTAAACAGATGCCCAAGCCACCTCAACTGGCTCCTCTCGACGTGGAGAAGCAGCGGCTCTACTCTGAGTCTCTCCCGGATGATCGAGCTTCTCACCCTATCTCTAAGGGAGAGCACAGACACCCTGCGGAGAAAACTCATTTCGGCCGCTTGTATCCGAGATCTCATTCTTTTGGTCACAACCCAAAGCTCGTGACCATAGATGAGGGTAGGAACATAGATCGATCGGTAAATTGAGAGCTTCGCCTTTTGACTCTGCTCTCTCTTCACCACGACAGACCTGTACAGCGCCTGCTTCACTGCTGATGCTGCACCTATCCGCCTATCGATCTCACGCTCCATTTTTCCCTCATTCGTGAACAAGACCCCAAGATACTTGAACTCCTCCACTTGGGGTAGGACCTCCTCCCTGACCCGGAGAGGGCACTCTACCCTTTTCTGGCTCAAGACCATAGCCTTGGATTTGGAGGAACTGATCTTCATCCCGGCCGCATCCCATTCAGCTGCGAACCGCTCCAGCGAAAGCTGTAGATCATGATCTGATGAAGCCAATAAGACCACATCATCTGCAAAAAGCAGAGACGCAATCCTAAGGCCACCAAAACAGATCCCCTCAACACCTTGGCTGCGCCTAGAAATTCTGTCCATAAAAGGTTTGAACAGAATCGGTGACAAAGGGCAACCTTGGCGGAGTCCAACTCTCACCGGGAACAAGCCCGACTTACTGCTGGCAATGCAGACCAGGCTCTGACACCAGTCATACAGGGACCTAACAGCCCATATCAAAGGGTCCGGTACCCCATACTCCCAGAGTACCCCCCACAGGGTTCCCCGAGGGATGCGGTCGAACGCCTTCTCCAAGTCCACAAAGCACATGTAGACCGGTTGGGCAAACTCCCACGCACCCTCCAGGACCCTGCTGAGAGTGTAGAGCTGGTCCAGTGTTCCACGATCAGGACGAAAACCGCACTGCTCCTCCTGAATCCGAGGTTTGACTATCCAATGGATCTCCAGAACCCCCGAGTAGACCTTACCAGGGAGGCTTAAGAGCGTGATTCCCCTGTAGTTGGAACACACTCTAAGGTCCCCCTTTTTGAATAGGGGGACCACCACCCCGGTCTGCCAATCCAGGGGAACTTCCCCCGATGTCCACGCAATATTGCAGAGTCGCGTAAGCCAACACAACCCTACAACACCCAGAGCCTTAAGGAACTCTGGGCGAATCTCATCCACCCCTGGGGCCCTGCCACCGAGGAGCTTTTTAACCACCTCGGTGACCTCTGCACCAGAGATTGGAGGGCCCGACCCAGAGTCCCCAGGCTCCGTTTCCTCAGTGGAAGACATGCCGGTGGGATTGAGGAGGTCTTCAAAGTAATAATAATAATGATAATAAAATCATACACAGTTTTAAACAAGAAATTATTCATGCATTATTATTATTAATATATTTATCAGTGAAAAGGGGACAAAGACAAAAACCATAAGACCAAATTATACTTTTATTATTCTCAATAATAGCATTATTGAAAAACGTGAGAACAATCAAATGCCAAATAATTGCCCCCCTTTTAATGATGCTATGATCTATTTTTAATTCCGTTTTATAAATTGTGTTTTATAATGTAATGTTTCATTCTTCTTAAACTGTATTTGTAATTGTTTTTATGTCGCTAAAGGCCCATGAGACTGGCATTGCACATTAGGCTAAAAATGGTCTAGTGTTCCGTATCTTTTAATATTTGACACTTGTGCCTATATAAACAAACAATAAATGAAACAAAATGTGCAATGTCTGTCAAATGTTACATGTTCTGTGTGTCAGATGCAAAAGTTGGTGTTGGCAATTGTATTCATTTTGCAATTAAATGAACCACATTTCAGATGAGACTCACTGTTCATCCCAGGTGGGAACGAAGACCAAGACTTGTTCCCATTTGTTTTTAAATAATGCAGCATCGTCTTATTTATTTGTTTATTTTTATACTTTGATTTAAACATATAATCGCACTGAGAAAGGTAGTCTCTTTTACATGAGAGACCTGTAACAGACAAATAACAATCAAGTACATAAAAGAACAATGCATCAATCATAACTCATTATGTTGATGGTTCAAAGAGAGTAAAAATGTACAAAACCTAAAAACAAGAACAGGTTTGAAATACTGCTTTTTCCATTTTCTTCAAAATACATTTAAATGCGAATGAAGGGATAAACTGGACAGTTTCAGATCTTACAGTTGTTTATTCCAGGAAGATTGAGAGGAATGAGAGAAGACCTTTTTTCCAAGTTCTCTAGAAACTGAGGTGACACTGAAAGAAATAAAGTCCTGGGAATATATGCTGTGACTATGTTGTCTGTGACATATTAGAATATAGATAAGGAGACAGCAGGCTGAGGATGGAATTGTAAATGAATGCATATGAGTGTAGAAGTCTGCAGGTACTGTAGATAATAATGGCTAGCTTATCATTGTGTATAGAGTACAGTGGTGTGTGAGAGGTTTATATTTTGTTAAAAATCACAAAGCTCCATGATGAGCAACATCCAGCTTGTACAAACTTAATATGAATGCCCCAACATTCATATTAAAACATCCCCATAGTTCAGCAGTAGAAAGGAGGTTTTAGAAACAAGATGTTTACGGGCCATTACGGGTAGGCATGAAAATAAGTCCTAGTTTTATTTTTAGTATATTTAAAATCTGGTCAATATAACACTTGAAGGAGAGCTTTTTTATCAATGGCAATGCCGACATATTCTTAAGTTTCTACAAACTATAGCTATGCTTTTTAAAGCTGTAACAGACTATATGGATTGTGGCTTTTTAATTTTTTTTTTGAAACATCATGACTTTTTTGTCAGCATTAACAGCCCGTTTGAATTGAAATAGGTCTGATTAGATTAAATCAAATGCAGAGACTCAAGAATCAATGTTACAGACTATGCATAACAATAAACAACAGTGTCATCAGCATATAAATACGTACTGGTAATCAGAAACATTTTGATCAACATTTACAACATAAATTGAAAACAGTATAGTGCTCAGAATAGAGCCTTGTGGGACACCTTTCATGATTTTCAAATAATCTGATGAGAGACCATTGTGCTGTACACATTGTTGATGATCAGACAGATAATTTGAAAACCACCTGACTGTTTGCTGTGAAAGATCACTCTCTAAAAGCTTCTGACAGAGGAAGGAATGGTCTACAGTGTCAAAAGCCTTGAACAAGTCATTGAAAAGAGCTGTACCTGTATGTCAGAGCAGCAAGGAAAGTTCAATATCATTGAAACAATGATGCGATTGTGAACTGATACAGTTCTTGTGGATGAAATTAAAGATTCATATGGAAGTTTCTACAGGAGATTAAAAAAAATGACCATGTGTTTGTGTGTGTTTATGTCCACTCAAAAACAAAAGCATCTGAGTATG